TTTCTCCTCAATTATTTAAAGACCCTGAGTGTTGGTCCGGCCGGGGTTTGAACCTGCGACCTCCCGCACGTCTAGTCCGGTGCTCTACCACTGAGCTAACCGGTCGGTGGTAAAAAATGCGAAGAAATCGTTTGCTTGACGCCGGCTGGCTCACAAATTTGCCGCGGTTTCAAGGAGGACGACCTGATCACATGCGAGTTGAAAGTTCAAGTTGTTGTTCCCTAGCTAGGGAGTTAGGAAGTTTTGACCCACGACACGTGACACGTTCTCCTTCAATCGGAAAACGCATTTGAGTTGGGAGGTATGGCGACATTGTTTGTCTAGGGGAGGAGAGGGATATATTTTTTTAAAGGCTTGAAATTGCATTTTAAAGCCTGAATGTCTCAATACTTCTTTTGCCCGAATCTTATCACAAGTATAACTTCCAGCGGTGAAATAAAGCCATTAATTAATCGGCACCTAATTTGTCCTACTCTGCCGAGGAAGAACGACGGAGCTTTTGAAGTCTGGTAAAGGTTTGACTAATTTTGGTAGGACTAGAAATCTAGTCCGCACTTGTAAAATGGATTTGTTGACAGATAGTTTTGCAAAATAAACATCAAGTTTCCTTTTCAATAACTGACTAATTTCTCGCGCGCTGATTGGCTCACTTTTATCATCAATAAGAGTACAGACGGATAAAATGTTAATTTATGCAAGCTTTCAAGTTCAACTTTTAGCTGTCAAACCGTCAACGTTTTAACCAATGAGGTTTTATGGACTTTTTGAAGTAGCCAATCAAAAAGCGAGAAAAGCTATTGACACTGTTCTCGTCATTTTGAATAGAATTCACTTATCTTTGTTTACGGTAAGTTTACGGTGTCTTTTCCCCTCATTTATTCCCGGCATTTGACCATTTTGGGGTCTTGTTATTGTAAAAAACTAACTGACGTCAGTTGTTTATGCGTCTGTCATCTTTTTGACGATAAATTTCATCATAACATTGTCAAAGTTTACAGCAGAACCACTCGCCTGCGGATCGTGGTTCCACAGCCACTTTGACAATGTTATGACACAATTTATGGTCAATAAGAGGACATACGCATAAAAAAATGACGCCAGTTTGTTTAAGTGAGGATGGGCGCTTTGATAGTGGCCCGCCTAGATTAGCACTTGCTATCCGCGGACCAAATAAC